TCGTTCAAATACTAACAATATATATCTCTGAAATTTTCATTAAAAATATAATTATCGGTGTATAATATTTGTGAAACCAAACTGTTAAAATTTCAGGTTGTTTTTAAAGTCTATTTTCTGTCCAGGATGGAGGTTTTCTCAGAATTCTACTGTAGCTTATTAAGTGACCTTTTGTAACAAAGTCAGTTTTGTAATTTAAAAATTAAGAGAGAAAATCCCCACTGAAGCTCCTTCATCACCTTTTTGCCCATCTAGCCAGGTTAATGAAGTCTTTTTTTGGAGTTGCTCACTGTTGGTACTGAATTTGACCACCCAAAAGGGCTTAGTATCAACTACAAACTTGGGGATCTATATTCAGTACCTTTTCTAGATTGCTGAAGATGCTGGATAAAATTGGTCTGAGCAAGTGGGGTACCCCATTTCTGACTTCTCCACGATAAAAGTCAACATTAAACCCCATCCTGTGTTTTCCTGTTCTTTACCAGCTTCCAGTCCATAAAATAACCTTTTCCCCAGTCCTATGGCAACTTTGTTACTTTAATAGCCTTGCTATGTGACGTTATTGGAAAGCTTTTAGAAAATTCAAATATATCCATATCCCCTTTGTCCACATGCTTACTAACAGTTTCATAGAATTCCAAGCAACTAGTCAGACAGAATTTCCCATTGCGGAAACCCTGCTGGCTCTTTTCCAGCAGACCATCTTTATCCATTCACTCAATGATCTCAGACTTTATTTTACCATCTTGTCAGGGACAGAAGTCAGCCTTCCTGGTCTGTAGTTTCCAAGATCTCTTCTAGAGTCCTTTTGGTAGACTGATTTTTCCATGCTGCTGTTTCTAGCTTTTATGTGCAGAGAGAAACAGAGTAAAAAAACAACAACAAAACAAAAAAAAAAACAACAAAAAACCAAAACAAACATACATACATATATAAATATTCCTTTGAAAAATGAAAATTTAGCTTATAAAAATGTATCCTTCCTGAATCATTTCCTTGAAGTGGAAGACCACTGCTATCTTGTCCTCTTTTCATCTTTCCTGAGCAGGAAGCAAACAGTGTTACCAATGAGAGAATCCAGACACAGAAGCCTATAAATGAGGGAAGTCATGGCTGTATAGGGCTACAATGCATGGCAACATGTCTTTATGAAGGCGCATTTTCACCACTACAACCTCAGTGAAAGCTGAAATCATTGACATTTATTAATTTCTTACATAGCTGAGAGTAACAGTATCTCTGAGAATTGTATGCAGGTTTCAATCAACACTTCATCCCTTATTGCACAAACAAATAAATTACTTGCTTCAGGGAGACTGTTGCATGTAGCAGACTGGTTGCTAACTGGAAGCGGATTCTATGTTCTGAGTCACAGGCTTAGACTGCACTGTTCAATTTTAGTAAATACACTCAAAATATTATTTACCTAAGTAAATCCATTTTGCTGTCAAATGTTACACAAAATGGGATATATATAAAGTATGAGTAGAACAGTTACAAATTTTACCTTCAGACAAGTTAGTAGGGACAGTTGTGCATCATACATCTTAGTACTTCACTGATAGAGTTTAAAATAGAGTTTAGTCCCTTATTTTCTGAAATGATTTAGAGAAAATCAAAATTACTTTGAAAAAAGCATAGCTTTGCAGTCGAATATAAGGTACCGTAGGAAAAAAGTTAGGAAACACTCTTATACTGAAAGGCTACATTATTTACCATGTGAACAATTAGACTGGATGTTGCATATTACTGCTAATGGGCTTTTGGTTTTTGGCCACAGAAATGTATCATGGTATCTTAGAAATTGTTGTTTCATTCTGTATAGATTATTCAAATTCATTGATAAAATACTGGCAAGCCCAAATAATCAATTTCCTACATTCATTTAGGTAAATTGGTTGTATAAAGATTATTTTAATGATATATACATGCAATTCACCATAAGAAAACGTATTTTAAATGATTTTCATCACATTTAAAATGGAATAACAAAACTGAACAAGGATTTATGCTGAAATTGTAGCTGCATTTATAATTGTTCTGTTTCAAATAAAATATTGTAAGTATTGCATATACACTGTATGTTCTAGGGAGCACAGACTGCCTCTAGAGACAACACACCAAAAAAAGGAGACATAAAGGAAGCTGGATAATGCAGAGAGAAGCAGTCTTGGCTCCATCTGCTGTCTGCTTTTTCTCTCCCTTCTTTTGGCACCTTTCTTAGGAGAGTAGCAATAAGTAGGTCCTACATTTATGAGAAGGCTGATTGGTATTTTAGGATTCTTTTTCGCTGCTCTTGTCTGCTATTGAGATAATTTAATTTTGGAAAAGATTTCTACCTTATTTTGCATTTTCTGGTCACTGTTGATAGTTTTGATCTACATTATTCCTACCAGACACAGCACACAGTAAGTGGTAATATACTTTGTCATCTTAGGATCAAGTTATTTCTGTAGTCCTCCCTGCTTCTTCACTTGTATTACTAAACGCTGTGAGGAAGTGCAGGCACAGTTCTAGGATCATTACTAATTCTTGCATATATGCTCATATTAATTGTATCAATATATTGTTGACAAATCTACTTTAAGTGCTATGTTCTCACGTCCGTTTTTCTCATAGTCCCTGGAAATAGGACGGTTCCTAAGGACAGGAGGCTGGGGTCAAAAGTGTTAGAACTTGTCCCTGTTCTTATATTGAATAGGCTTGATCTCCAGAATGACATCTGAATCTGCTCCAATTTATGCCACAGTCTCAGTCACTGAGACTTTTTTTCCACTTCAATGGTGTACAATATAGTTTGGCTTTCCTTCTAGAGTGTGTTTGTCCTCGTTTTTTTTTATTATTATTATTTTTAATTGGGAGTTCTAATAAATATGATTATTTTACTTGAAAATTGTGATTTACTTGAAAGATCAGTAGATGTCAACAATATTTCTTATTCTACAAATGGAAGAATCATGCATTTACAAGATCTTAGGTTAATTCCACACAGGAATAAGTGTAAATCCCCTAATTTCAAAAGTGGCTGCAAAATAGAAATAACAGTTTTGAATTAGTCCTAGAATTCAGGAATTTTTACTGAGCTATGATCCTGAAAAGATGCACACAGCGATTCCCTTCCAAGTAGCTCTGCCTCCAAATGAAAAGTTTGACTGCATATAGACTGCAGAAATACTGAAAATACAAGGAAGATGCTAAATGCATAGGCAAGATTCACATAAATCTTTAAAAATGCTGATATTTAGGTTCTTAGATTGAAGAAACAGGACTATAAGCTGCATCCAGGGATAAACCTCAGAAAAGTTTTATTGTGATTGGAATTGCTAGAAATTCAACTTTATTTTAGGGAGGATATTTAAAAACTAATAATCCAAAAAACGTTTTTGAAAAATATGTTTTTTTCAGATAGGGAAGAACATTTATTCAGCAGAATATAGAAATTTCAAGTGTAATAGAAAATTAGTAATGCAGTTAAGCCACACATTAGACACACTAGAAGATATTCCAATTAGTAATTTCAGAGGGTTTTGTGACATGAGAGGTAAAAGCATTTTTACAGGATGTAAGTCTAGTTCCATTTTAAGTGTCAAAAACCAAGTTGTTTAGTTTGAGCAATCTTATGATTTGAGAAGATGAGAAAATTAAAAAAAAAAATAGAGATCTTTAATAAATGTCTACATTAACATAAAAAATCAGTTATTATTTTGCAACTTACTGAAGTAGTATATGTTTCTAAATTTTTGGGGTCTGGAAACTAGTAATTAGGATTTTTTTTATAGATATCCCTTATCAGCAATAATTAAAAATGAGATGAGTAAGATTTCTTTTAAGGAAGAGTTTATATGCTGAACAACATGCATTTAGTTGTTCCCAAACTACTTGTGAATGTCAGCTGAAATGTTTCCAGCTGGAAAGAAAGAAATCAGAGTTGGAGTGATACAGCTGTAGAGATCATCAGCTGCCTTTTACTCAACAGGTCTGCAATTAAGGACTCCCTCTTGTTGAAGTTGTTCCACAGGGACTGCTGAATACTTCAGCAGACACAGATCATGAAGCAGATAATTTAAAAGGAAGAAAAAATATCTGAAAATGTTAAATTTCATTTAGTTCAATGTACTTCCTCTCCAAACCCACCTGTATACTAAAAAAGACAATTTGTTACCCAGCCTTAGGTAAGCAGTCATACCCATTGCAGTTTCTTTTTTGCTATTATTTATATGTATATGGTCTAGTGTAGTTATTCTTTTCCTTATGCTGGAGTCTTACTCCTTCATGAAAATCAGGTAGGTCATACTGGTCATAACCCTCAGGCTAATATTTTTTTAAATATCGTTGTTGTCAAACTCAACCATGCATTACATCATGCCCAGTTCATTTATTCCCCAGGGTATCTCTTAAGCAATTAGAATTAAAAGCATAATATTATAGATAAAGATTAAGAAAGGATGGGTGGTTCCGTTGCTCATTTTGAGAACATTTTTGGTATGTTATTTTTTTAAATGATATTAAGGATCTTTACCTCATAGACTCAATTCAATTTATTGGTTTATGGGATGTCTTGCCCTGGACATACTCCATTTCTTTCTGCTGCTGCTGTTTGTGACAGTGTTTTAAAAGCATATTAACTGTATTTTTTTTCATTTTGCAATTACAGTTGCTTGATATATTAAGGTTATCTTTCAATATACCATATAAGCAAAATGTACCAGTTATATATTGACATATTTTGCCATCTACTTTGTTACAATAAGAGCACATTTAAAAAAAAAAAGCATATAAAACATTACAGCATAAATAGCATAATTTGAAATTGGCATGAGTGAAGTTCACCTCTGTATTCAGAATGTTGCATCTTTTTTAATACTTTTCTTGAAATGTATTGCAAACAATACAAATAAAGCAAAATACAGATTCTCTTCCTATGCAGGTAAAATAAAATATAAACTTGTTCTCTATTGCTATAAATCATTCAGTTTGACTATTCATTTATTCTATTTCAGACTGTTCGCCATGGTTTTCCTTATCTACCCACTGCCTTAGCTTTTGACCCAGTTCAGAAAATTCTGGCAATTGGGACAAGAACAGGAGCCATACGAATGTATCCTTTTTTTAATTCAGAATTTACATGATTTCTATATGTTTGTAATACAGTGATATGAATCATCTTTACTTCCACAAGCACTCAGGTAAGATTATACTTTATGATGTTCTACTTCATTCTATTTTACTATATGGACCAGAAAAGAATGTGTTGTTGAGGAATTACTATTGGTTTATTAATGTGTCCAAAGGAAAATTTTTTGACAAGACTTTTTGGCATATTATCAATATTGGTTAATATAAAGCAGAATCAATTTTTGGTTTTCAGTATGTAAAAGTAGACATAGAACCACCAAGTGGTAATAAGCAAGGTGTGAATGTCATGCTAGCAATAAATATAGTAATTGCTGCAATGCAGCTAACAAACTGGAGGGATTTGCAATGTAGATATCCATGGATGAGATCTTTTTCACACTCTCCACAGTGAATGGTGGGATATAGGTAGTTCTAGGGCACAGTCCACCTCCTGGAGGAAGTGTCTCAAAAAGGTCAAATGAAGCACTCCAAAAGTGCCTGTTTCTCTTCATTAATTATAAAGGTACTCTAGTGCCAGTAACTTATACTTAGATTTTTATACCATAGGAATTTTAAGTTAGGTGTCTACACAGAATGAATTGAACATAAATGTAATGAATATATTCTAATTTGATGAAACTACATATAAAGTGAGAAAAAAATGAAAGAGAGAAAAAAGAATATTACAGGAAAGTTTAAGAGTTCTGGGATACAGAAGTAATAAAAGTAATGCTTTTTTATAATCACTTATACCTAAATAAATTCAAGGGTTGAAAGTAGGGGACAATGCTTTAAAAAAATACTAAACTAATGTTTTCTGGTCCTTTTGCTCCCAAGATAGCTATGAACCTAATGAACCCAAAGGCAGATTACAACTTAAAGAAAAATTTCCTCCTGGAGAATCTGACTGTGCTTCACGTAATATAACTAAAACTGGGAATATTAATTTCCTCCATTTTTAGGTGCTCTTGTTCTGAACAGTTGCGTTGTTATAAGCCTACTTTTAATTGTAATCCAGAGATTTCCACAAAACTCAAACAAACCAGCTATACCATGAAGTTTACTCTGAGGATTCTACTCAATATTTACTTAAATGGAGTAGATTGTAATTATGTATTGAATATAATATATTCTAAGTGCAAAATTCCCATTACTTTGTGCACTTCTGAGAAAGTACAAGTTTAATAGTCATGCTTTCTTCTTATGGGAGGTATCCTAAGTCAGAAAGTTAGAGCTTTGTCTCTGGAAGCTTCATTCGTATCAACTTCTGTAAGAGGAGGGATTGGGAATTTCACAGGTAATATAGATTTTGTAGGAAGAACTTGCAGAAGGTTGACCCCTTAGCCCACCTGTCCTTTCCATTTCAGCAGCCAGGCTTTTGTAGGAGCTGTGCTGCTACTGGCTAGACATCCGATTCCTGTATAAATCCCTCTTTTAAGAAAAATGTAGGTGCAGAGCCTGATTTAATACTTCCTCACATAGCATTAAGTTAAATCTGCATGTCTTCTGCCACAGGAATGGAACATACTGTGGAAAACAGCTGTATGCCTAAAAAGTAGGAAGAATGCTTTTTCAAGCATCTCTTCCTTTAATATTTCTTCTCTGGTTCTGCTAGCAAAAACATCCTTCATTCACGGAAAACTTTCTACCAGTTCTAGTACCTGAATCAAACAACAGCATCCAGATTACCAGACATCTGAATTTTTAAGAATATTAATGTCTCATCTCATAAGTCCCTATCTGCTTTGGCACACAGAGCCTAATTTGCAAAACAGAGCACTGAGTCAATGCGAGCTGTGCTTTGAAGACAGGGGGTACTGTGAAAGGAATTATGTATTTATTTTAAATCAAATGTCTGAATGTGACACTGAAATGTTTGTGGAACCTATTCCATAAAAACCTAGGTGGAGACTAATATGTTTGTTTGTTCACAGGGCTGAGCAGTGACCAGTAAAATAGGGCCTGAGACCACACACTGAACACCACTCGTTTAAGCCGACTTTGTTACAGTCTTTTTAATTGTTGAAGTCAGGCTATAAGATTCAAGCCAAGATGTAACAGGTTTAGTGTTACACTTCTGAAAATACAATTTATAGTGAAAAATTCTAAAGCAAACTAAAAAAGCATAGATTTTAATGGCTCTCAACCTTCCACAGTATCCTATGAAAATATTTTTAACAGAGCGACACAATTTCATTCTGCCATGAAATTGATTAGTGTTAGATAATGGAATAAGATAATTTGTACCGTACGTTCATTGTATTCTGTTTTGTTGGTGCCTCTCAGCAGTATTGTGGATGGAATGAAAGGACAGACTGTTTGACTACCATCAGAGAAATGCATTCCAGTTTTGGTATTTTTATTTTGATGGTACCAAAACAGCCTAGTCTGGATCAGACTGTTGTGCTGGGCAGCACAAACGCATGACATGAGAGAGTTTATGTTTAGTATTCATGTAGTGATATGGAACGAGTTTTCCTGTGACCAGTGTAAATCACCTAATGGTATTGTTGCTCCCCTGTCTTTCCAAAAGATTCACAGAGTACTAGGATGTCTATTGGTAGCAGGTTAAAAGCTCTCAAAAGGCAAGCTATTTCCAAAGAATATGAAGTGAGTATCTCAATGTTGGGAATTACGGTTTAACATCAAGCCTTCTGGTGTTCGTTTCAAATGGTCAAGCTGCATTACTGAAATTGACTATGCTGAATTGGCCCGAAATAGAGTATATTTTTCAAAAGCTGCCATTAGAGTACAGAGATTAATGAAAGTTCATATTGGTATGAGAATCAATTTGTTTTCTCCCAGACTTCTTTTCAAGTTGCTTTAGATGCAACTGCTATAGCTTCTATAGCAAGGGGAATTGCTGTTGCTATGCTCTACTGATCCTAGCAGTCTCCTTGGGGTTTTCGAGGAACTTTAGACAACAGTGTAGGTTTTACCATTTGATGACTACTGGGTACTGGATCCTCACAGGGACAGCTATGATCCAGCTCTAGAATGAATGCACTGCAAGTTATCTGTGAAAGATATTCTTTCTGCTACAAACACAGGCTACCAAAATCTGCAAATAAAAGGCAAAAAACCCTACTCTTTAAACAATTTTTATGTGACCTGATCATCCTTCTCCTTCCTCCTAAACACAGCAAACTTCATGTCCCCTCTGAGAACAACTTATTTCCTCTTTGAACCTTTCTGTCAGCTCCCATACTTTTGAACATTGCTCAGATCATCATTCAGATTGTTGCTTATTACTACTCTACCTGGACTAGCCTTACTTCTGGCAAACAAGTTCAGGTTTTAAGGTCATGAAACTGAATTCCTTTTCTTACTGTCTCCATACTCTTCCTCTCTCCTCGTAGTCCAGAGAACTTTATGACATTAAACACAATAATCAGAGGTTGCACGCTTTGTTTTACTATCAGAGAAGGTTCTATATCGCCATACAATGGGGAGAGAAATTAAGAAACTTCATCAGACTGAGGTCTCTTCCTCATTTCAGAGGAAAAGTAGTAGTCTGGGGTTTTATCACATCCTAGATCTGAATTACAATTCTAGCTGGCATATTAAAATCAGTGTTGTTAGCAATGATAATTCCAATATCATATCTGGAGAAGTGTCATGCTGCTCTCAGATTTCAGGATGCAAATTTCTGTATTGTCTTTCATCCAGCTCACAAATATTTGCTGAAATTCATTGTAGGTTCTTTCTGGAGTCACTGAATCCTTTCCTTTGGACTTCTTCCATCACATCAAAGATGTGCTTAACCAGTACGGTGACCTACTTTCAAGCACATAAGCATCTAAGAATAATTGTAAATGAGTGATTGATTAGCTGGTAGTCAGCTGAAGTAACAAATTCTAAAAGATCTTGAGACTATTCTGTAGCTATTGTCATCTTTGTTGATTAAGAAATAAGAGAAAGTCTATTTTAAATCCAGTGCAAAGAAAATGACTTACTGGGTCCACACTGGACTAGATCCCAGTGAAAGCTTATCCATCATCAAGGACATGTGAATTAATAAAATATCTTTGGACACATTTAAACTATTATATTGTTATTCATAATAGATCTTTTCCAGAGTTATGCACTTCACGTTGTCATGGATGCTAGCCATGGAGTATTCAAATCTTCATTTCCACTGTTTGTTGCTCAAGTAAAAAAGCAAGCTACCCCCAACACATACAAGGCCTTTCTACAAGGCATAGCAGCTTACTCTCTTCCAATATTATCAGACAATGTAGCAGCCATTTTATACCTAAGCAAACAAAATTATTATGACTCTCTGCCACGTGAAAGTGGAAGTGTTGCTCTGCCTTCCCCTCTCACCTGGCTGCATGGTGCATCCTTGTTCTGACTCTTATCTACTGTCAGATAGATCATCAGATCTTTCCACAAGCAATCCAATTTACAAACCTGACGAAAAACTTTCTTTTTTGCCGTGTTATTTTTTTGCCAGGTTAGTGAGCTGAACTGTCTGGTGCTTACCTCAGATATTTGTTTGTCAGAGTGATGCGTAAAAACAGAACAAAAATTCTATAGGCCCTGCTCAGGAGAGGTTCTGATTTATGCATCATATTAGGTATCATTCTTCTGACCTGTTTGATGCGTTTCTTCTCATGCTTTCTTAGCGAGAGTAATTTTTTGAATGTCAAATATAGTACAGCACTGCTTATTTTAGGAGGTGCATCTGGTGAAAAAACAAAACATGGCTCCAAGACTATAACAATTCTTTCCATGAAACAGCTAATAATCATATATTTGATTCCAGTGTTCATGTCCCAAGTAAAGGGGAAAGTGAAATCTAAATCTAAGATCGTTCCATTGACTAGCAGCTCATGTATACCAAGAGACATTACTAGGAAGTATCATTTGGACTGTTTGTGCACTCTGGAAAAAAATAAGACAAAGAAAACAAATAGCAGTAATTTAATCGTGGACCTGTTGTGTATGTAGAATCCTGAGGAGGGATGGAAACTTACAGCA